CTGAGGGTGCTGGCTGTTCATTGAGAAATATCTCGACGCACACAGCCGTGCGTTTTCGGGTGTTTCAGCCTCGCACCCGTTGACTTTCTTCTCGAAAGATGAAAGCAAAATATATTGTGAATGACTCGAATCTAGCGTTTGCCGAGGCAGCGCGTAGATTACGGGTCTACAATAAAAGGGACACACAATCTGGGAAATAATACTGTTTTGTGCGAGGCATTCACAGTCAGCTCCTGAGGGTGCTGGCAGTGTTCATTGAGAAATATCTCGACGTGTAAGCCTACATAAACCATGCGCTGTCGGATGTTTCAGCCTCGCACCTGTTGACTTTCTTCTCGAGGGATGAAAGCCAAATATATTGTTGCGGCTCGATTCTCGCGTTTGCCGAGGCAGCGTGTAGATTACGAGACTGTAAATAATATTAAAACAGTATTGTTTGGTGATTATGGCTGCATTTAATTCTATGAAATTAAAATGATAGGATATTATCTCACTTTAAGAAGTTAGATATTTTAATTCAGCCTACCATTATCCAGTGTTTATGGCTGCATTTAATTCTGAGGAATTAAAATGATGAGCAGCGAACGTCAAGAATCGTTTTAAATTTTTCCCTGCCGGTCCTCTGCTTCAGGGTATCGAAAACAAGACGAAAATAGCAGGGCTGTCCTCCCCGTGGAGGGATGAGCGAGAATCGCTCCTCCGCGGAGCCCTCAGGAAATCTATGTTTGTATCCAGCGTCAAGTGCGTTTCGGGACACATCGGTTTTCAGCAAATGCACGCTGCAGTGTCCGCCACAAGGGCTTGCGGCCAGGCAGTGTCCGTGTCCGCACATCGGAAACTGTTTTCGATTATTCCCTGCCGGTCTTCCGCTTCAGGGTGTCTTGAACGAAACCGAAAGAGCCTCCCATCTGGGGAGCCCTCAGGAAATCGTTGTCTGTATCCTGCCGTAAGTGCGCTTCAGGACAAATCTGTTTCTAGTGAACGCACGCTGCTCTGTCTGCCCCACAGGCTTGCGGCCAGACACCTCGAGAATCGTTTCGACCAAACCCTGCCGGAGAGCCGCTTCAGGGGATCGAGAACGAATCTCGAACGATACCCGAAGCCAGTCTCGAGAGGCTGGTTCCCTTGGGGTACAGACTGCAGTTCAGTTTCCACCCACCAAAGTTCAACGGGGTGGTCTCGACTGTAGTCGACCCAAAGCAGGGTCGGGTATTGGAACAAGAAGTAAACTCCCTGCTGGTAAAGGAGGCTATAGAACGTATTCCTCCGCCAGACAGGGAGTCCGGGTTTCACAGCCGCTACTTCATAGTTCCTAAGAAGGATGGGGGGTTGCGTCCAATATTAGATCTCAGGCACGTGAATCGGTCTCTGAGGAGGTTCAGGTTCATCGTGAATCAAATTCAATCCGAGGATTGGTTTGTCACGATATATCTGAAGGACGCATACTTCCACATATCCATCCTTCCATCTCAGAGGAAGTTCCTGAGGCTCGCTTTCGGAGGTGAAGCGTACCCATATCGGGTTCTTCCATTCGGCCTAGCTCTCTCCCCTTTCACATTTACCAAATGCATGGATGCAGCTCTAGCACCGCTGAGGCTTTTGGGTGACTGGCTGATTTGGCCCAGTCACAAGAGCTGGCAATTCGGCATCGAGATGTCGTCCTTGCCACATCCAGAGCCTGGAGTTTGAGACTCAACGCGAAAAAGAGCGTGTTGGCACCAGCCAGAGAACCATGTTCCTGGGAGTGGTGTGGGACTCGGTCACGATGTGGGCACAATTGTCTCCTGCACGGATTGAGTCCATCCTGGCCATCGGTGACCAGGATAAAGCTAGGCCAAGCCATCACTGTCAAACCCTTTCAGAGAATGTTAGGACTCATGGTAGCAGCATCCAACACCATTCCATTCGGCCTGCTGCACATGAGGGCCCTGCAGTGGTGGTTGATAACCAAGGGGTTCTCCCCGAAGGGGATCCCATTCCGCATAATCAGGGTTACACGCAGATGCCTTCGTTCCCCATCTATGTGGAAGAAAGCTTGGTTTCTGTCCCAAGGCCCCGTGCTGGGAGCGTCATGCCGCCGGAAATCCGTCTCGACAGACGCCTTCCTCACGAGCTGGGACGCGGTCAGGCAGGGCTCTGAGGAACTTACTCCCAGACCTCAGTGGTCACCATGCAGACAATGTGTCGGTGGTCTCCTACTTGATTCTTCAGGGGGTTCTGAGATTGCGCCCTCTATCCAGATTGGCGCATCAGATCCTCCTGTGGTCCCAGGGGAAACTGTTATCTCTCAGAGCAATTCACGTCCCAGGAAACTAGAATCAGAGAGCAGACCCAGGGAATGGAGACTTCACACCGAGGTGGTGAAGTCGATATGAGTGAGGTTCGACCCAGTGGAAGTGGATTTGTTCGCGTCTTTAGGGACGTCCCACTGTCCACTGTGGTATTCTCTCACTCATCCAGCCCCATTGGGTTTGGGTGCCATGGTACAGACGTGGCCGAGGCTACGCCTGTACGCTTTTCCCCCGATTGCTCTGCTCCCGGGAGTTCTGGAGAGGGTCTGTCGAGACGGGATTAGCCTACTTCTAGTAGCCCCGTACTGGCCGACCGAGTATTGTTTTCAGACATCATAGCGCTTCTGGCAGGCCAGCCTTGGCAGATACCTCTGGGGAGGGGCCTGCTTCCACAGGCCGGGGGCTCAATATTAACCTGTGGAAGCTTTGGGCCTGGCCCCTGAGGGTGCTCAGTACCTAGAGGATGGCCTGTCGGCTGGAGTGGTTGAGACCATACTCAGTTCCAGAGCTCCTTCCACGAGGGACATTGTACGGCCTAAAGTGGAAAGTGTTTCCACTTGGTGTAGAGAGCGTGAGGTGGACCCAGTTAACTGCCCGGTTGGCTTCAGTGCTGGAGTTCCTGCAAGATTGCTTCTTGGCTCGTCTTACCCCATCCACACTCAAGATGTACGTGGCTGCCATTGCGGCTTTCCACGCTCCTCTGGGTGATGGGCCTCTGGGGAGACATCAGCTGGTCGTACGTTTCCTGTGTGGGGCTCGGAGGATGAGACCTGCGGCTCGTACCAGAGTTCCCACATGGGACCTGGCAGTGGTTCTTGCAGGGCTGGTCGAGGCCCCCTTCGAACCTCTGGAGTCGGCTGAGGCCAAGAACCTTCCCTCAAGGTAGCTTTTTTATTAGCCATTACTTCACTGAGGAGAGTAGGAGAACTTCAGACGCTCTCTATATTTAAAAAACTTTAACAACAATGGTACCAATTTTATTATTACTTCAAACTGTCTGTGCATGAGCAGGAATTAATTATTATTAGGAATGAATGAACAAGCAAACTTGATGGGATTTAAAACTTTAATATACAATATAAAATTAATAAAATACAAAAAATATAAAACAAGAATCAGATTTATACAGTTTTAGTTTACAAATAAGACATATTAATACAAGTACAAATGGAGTGGGATGAAGAGTGCAAAGTAATAGTGCAAATGTAGTGTGCAAGATGCATATTGGAATGATAAAGTATGTAATGTATAGGTGAATGACCAAAGTGGCAAAAATACAATTACTTTAATAAAATATAAAATATAAAAAAAGAACTCCATGGTTTTGAAGGCTCAGTCCTTCTCAGCTGGCCTAAAAAGAAAGAAACAAAAGTTTGATATGTCATACTAAGAATGAACACGTTGACAAAAGCAAGACATTGAATTACTAACAACAACTTTTTTTATGATCACAAATATTGATGGTTTTCCCATTCCTTTGATTATTATGAACATCACATAGAAGAATTTCAATTTACCGTCTGTGTGAGGCTAACTTCAGCACTTGCCCAATCAAGTCCTCCGCATCTGCTGCAGTCAGCTCGGGGAAGTTTTTCTGGGAGGCCGCTAGAGTAGAAGTCAAAATGAAGCATAGTTACAAGTCAGATTAAAACCGCCAAGCTAAGCATAATACTGATGTGAACAATAAAATAACACCTGCCTGTAATAACCCTGCAGATTGTCAAGTCCTGGAAGGCCTTCTTTGCCTTTCTGTCCCGCAGACTATACTGTTTTAGCACGTCATTGGTTGCCACTCACCGTAGCATGCGACGGATGGCAGTACCTGTGGTCGAACCTCCAAGGGTTGTCAGGAAAAGTTGCTGTAAAACAAATACAAATTATACATGTAGAACAATCTCATTTTGTAAGAGCCATCAGTTCAGTTATAATGATATTTGAAGTTATGCAATTATATAGTGTTAATCTTAGGGGAGGGCTATGACCACTTAATTACCATGTTGTCCCTCCTCTCTTGTTGACCGAGACTCCAGTCGAACTCCTCCAGCTCTGTGACAGTTGAGCAGGGCGACAGCAACATGTCCTCGACTGGAGCAGAGGGAGGTGACTGGGAGCTCCATAAGAGCATGAGCAGCTCATCCATCTTCCCCTCAAATGCATCCATCCGCTGTGCCATGCGAGGAACAGATGTCCTCAAGGCTATGGAAAAATTAATGGTGTTAGTTTTAGTTGTTATACATTATATACTTGCATATGTGAACAACTTAAGTGAGTCTTCTTACCTCTCATTTCCGTCTCCATGGCTGAGGCACCTCCCTCTGTGTGACGAGTTCTGCTGTTCACAACAACAAAAAAGTGAAGTTACTCTCAAGTTCCTTGTCATGAAATTGTATTTAATTGGAAATGGAAAATTCAAAGCCACTGTACCTTCAGGCCGAGCTTGCGTCACACTAGACCAGTGGTTCTCAACCTCTCCTGCAGGGACCCCCTGACACACCATGTTTCTGTTTTAACCCTGAAATGGCACACCTGATTCAATTAATTAAAGGCTTAATGAGTCATTATTAGAGTAGGAAGTAGGAATTAGTTAATTGATCAATTAGTCAACTACTCATTAAGCCTTCAATTAATTGAATCAGGTGTGCCATTTCAGGGTTAAAACAGAAACATGGTGTGTCAGGGGGTCCCTGCAGGAGAGGTTGAGAACCACTGCACTAGACCCATCAAATTCTGGGCGACCGGCTGGTTTTCTGTGTGGTGTTGACTCATCTAAAAAGAAAGTAGATATGAATATTGGTCAGTTCATTTATGGTAGGTTTCTTGCACATGGCAAAAAAAAAAAAAAAAACTTACATGCAGGTGGTGGAGGCATCTGCTGACCTGAAATAAGGCAGAAAGAGACAAACACATCAGAACAGTCACATAATATGCGCCAGGTTGAAGCTCAGTAGTTCCATGGTAGGAAATATGACTCTAGTTTCTTAAATGCATGCATAAATGTTCACTTACGGACAGGGCTTCCAGACACACACTCCGTCCTGGAATGCTTTCCCACTTGTGTAACAGATTCATCTGAAATAAAAAAGACCAAACAATTTGTACAGATTGCAAAAAGAAAATTTGAATTGTGTAAATAATGTAGTCTGTACTTAAGGTCTTATAGAGTAAGGTTGCTATAGAGTAAAGTTGTCAACTAGGGTTCGAGTTTTAGTTTACTTTTACTTTAGTAACTTACTTTTACTGTTGTGCTCCAGTCTTTTTTCGATTCAGTAATTAACCAATGAAAAGGAACTTAAGAAATTATCTATCCAAAACTAATCAACAAAATCGTATCTAAACATTCATATTTAGCCTGTAACATCGTGTTTATGATATATTAGCATATAAATGTTAATTTGCAGTTTGTTGCTTATACAAAGACATTTTATTTCAACATATTTCAGTCTATTTTTACTCTCATCTCAGTAGGCTATAGCAATATATAGTTTGGTAAAAGCTAAACTAGCAGATGTGTTCATGTAAAAATAACGTACAAATAACACGGCAAAGCATAGACGTCGTGCACAGCAGCAAACAAAGACTCAAACAAAGCCCAATATATATATGCATTGGCATTATGAATTACAGCCATTAGCTGGAGCTATATCCATTATTACAGCTAACTTACAGGACCCAAAACAGTCATATGAGCATGCGCAGTGCCGGAAAATAACAAAGCCCTATGGGGAAAGGGCTTAAGGTAAAACCCCAAACCCTTGCATTACAACCACAACATCATGAAACTGTAACGTATTTCACTTAATTTTTCGTGAGAATGTGAAGCTGTTGGTTGTTTTTCCAAGACTTCCTGATAGTGAACGGTCTGCTGGGTTCTACGTAGACTTATCCATTTCTTCCAGCCAATCAGGAACCTCCGTGTTGCGTCACACGCCTTGACGTCAGGCAACCTGGCCAATCAGCATTTTAGATGGTAATTTTAAAATAAAATGGAGTGTTGCTTTCTCCGACACAGTGATACTACCCACGTGTAGTATTTTTTTAATCTCTTTCCTGCGCTTAAATATTAGATGGAGGTTTTTTTTTTTTTACTGTTTAAATGTAAAAGTATAATGCTAGTGTGTGACATTACCAAGCGGCAACCTCCCTGTCTCTCTTTTGAAACCAACACGGAAGTGAATTAAACTGCAATTCATCTACTGACCGCTTGAGGCTGGAGGCAGAAGTGAGTCAAATCTGTATCTCCCCCATTATGTTAAAATGCCCAACTTTACAGCAGAAAAAAACATGTTTACAGGCTGGAGCAAAAAGTGGTTTTAGTCTTTATAGCTTATTTTGCCCTTCATGACAACTGTGAGGGGGGTGAATTTTTTTACAACTCATCCGTTTAAATTATATTAAGCCTGCATGATTAAGGGCCCGGCCACTTGAGTGACAGGTGGATTGCGGCCGTTTGTCTGCTGCCTGATAGCGTCACTCTCAGCTAATTCCAGCAGCTGCTGTACTTGCCATCTCTGCCGTGTTTGTGCTTTTTCGGGATTATTTCATACAATTTAATACACGCATTATACCTTCGCCCACACCGTTGGATTCCGTTGTTGTCAAGTATGGAGCATAGACTGGTATGGAGAGGCGCTGTATTTCCAGTTGTTTTCCTCGCATGCACCAACGTTAATGGATGTCTGACAATTTCTTTGCTAAAAACGTCTATAGATATAGAGACCACACTCGTTATGCGGTACTAATGCTCTCACGGAACAGATATGCTTGTTTAACTTTTTAGTGTTAAATAAAAAGTACAGTCAGATAAAATCCTGCAGGTGTCATGCTTTCTCTCCGTCCATGCAATAGATGCACACATTTGAATGAGCGCGGGTTTTTAGTGCATTTACTTGAACTACTGAGGTTATATCTTTGGTTTAACCGATTTGAGAAATTGAGAGGCGGCCAAAATGGACTGAATAAAGCTCTTTACGAACTTGACGTGCGATGCCATGCTGACTGACATGTATGCGCATGAATCACTGCCACACCCACAAGTTTAGAGCAATATTGTAAGTTACTGCATGATAATACATTTTTACAGCAGAATAACAATACATCATACACAGTCTCACTTTTAGTTACGTATTTTAACTATTATAATATTTCGAAGGGCAAAAACAGGAACTATTGGCTTTTATTCTTCAATCAGCTGTCACTTTAGCGCAAGGCCAGTAGCATATAGCATTAGCACCTCAGCTCCACCCACGTCCCGCCTCTTTGCCCATTTTACTTTATCGGGTAGTGACGAGAGGCTCTTCAGAAACCGACAGGTGACGTCACGGACACTACGTCCATATTTTTTTACAGTCTATGGACATTACACATCCTTTTTTGCTCGACGGTACAGGAATAAATGAAACATGTTCTGAATGTATTCTAACAGTGATAGCAGAAAACTATTATAAACATTTTACCCAACCATTATTATTTGTTTAATCCTACGTGAAACTCACAAACAGTGTGAGTGCTACGTGCGTATTTCTATAAAGAGACGAAAAAAATCATTTAAAAAAATGTAACTACAGTTACACAAGCACCCCAGGCTTGCAACATGAACTGGTCAGTTAAGTTGGGAGCAAGCACTAACTAAACCGTGTCTATAACGTTAAGGGCTCTAATATACCTGTGCTCAAACACACCAATTTATTTCGAGCGTCCATTTACCTAAAAGCCACTGAAAGAAGACGGGTCCCCAGCATAGACAGTAAAAGAAAGGTTCCCATGCAAGTTCTGTGTATCCAGAGGGACTTCGGTGTATGTAAGTGTATAAGTAACACAACACGGAAGTCAGGACAGGAGGACTTCAATCGGTCACCTGAAAGCAGAGGCACTTCCCCCTACTGGCGTGGGGGTGTAACGGTTGGATTTGTACACCGAACTGAGCCACTTTTAGAAGTGAAATGTGAAATGAAAGAGGTCAATTTTCTTAGTTGTGAAAATCGTTCGTATTTATTTTCAACTAATACAGTTAACAAAACGAAATCAAGCACAAAACTTATTGTTTTTAGCTAAATTGACATCAGCTTAAAAATAAATATATTCTCTTGCTATGCTGTTTATCTTACTTATTTTTCATAAGACCAATAATTTTTGAGTGAATCTGTCAAGTGACTGCAAACCTTTTATATGCTACGTCATAAATTTAAATGGAGCTGGTTTAAATAAACATTTCAAAACCGCACTCAGAACAACCAAAAAAACAAAATAAAAGGGAACGTTGTGTGGAGGTACAGTGCAACCACAGGAGAACGTTTTAGTTGGTTGGTTCCCTTAACGTTTAGGGAACGTTATAACCCTGAGGGAACGTTCCCTAAACGTTAGGTTTTGGTTTGGTTCAAACTAACCTTTAGAGAAGCATAAACTAACGTTCCCTAACGTTCCCTAAACGTTCTGTGTTAGTGGGGACGTACCAGTCGTTTGCATATGACCGCCTCCAGCGCAAGACAACTACACCTCATTTCGCTCGATGGTGTTTTTAGCCCCCAATGGCTACTTCCAGGCAGCTAACCCTAACCTCATCCCTAAACCTACCCATCCCCTCACTGCCTGGAAGGCGCCGTTGGGGGCTAAAAACACCAAACACCCCTCAGCTCACATCATCGCATGCGTTGACGTGCAGCGAGTGGGTCTGTTTACAAGATGACTGCAATGCCACGCAGATGTGCTGTTCCTGGCTGTGGACAAACAACATGTTTGAATGCTGCCGAACGATCCGGACGTCAGGGAAAGCAGTTGGATGCAGTTTATTTGCAGCATATGCAGCCCGCCAAAGCCTTATTTGTTCGGTGAGTGATGTAGATGAGTGTGACAGAGCGCATGTTACTGAAAGAACGAGCAGAGAGAGAGAGAGAGAGAGAGAGAGAGAGCGCCCCGGCCGCGCGCGCGCCTTCAAACTGTCTTGCTCTCCCTCTCCCTCTCTTGATTTTGAAATTGGTGGGGACGGGGACATCAATATATAAATATATTTTAAGTTTTGATCGAAATTATTGCTAGGGATATATCAGTGTCACTGGATATTGGTAGGGAAACGTCCCTAGTGTCCCTACTAAATTCTACGCCCCTGCTCTTAACACTCAAATACTCTTAACAGTCTCAGACCACAAGCTCTCTGTCTGCTCAAACACAAAACCCACTCTGTCTGTAGAGGAAATGATGACGTGTCTTTTAAAACACTCTGCACCTATCAGGATAGAGCATCAATCACGGTGCAGGAACCAATCAGATGGCGTTCCCGATCATCCTGCAGGAACCAATCAGATAACGTTCCTGGACAGACATACAGAGAGACTCACAAAACAACAGAGAAATAACAAAATACAAACCATAAGGTCGTAACAAAAGACATGCAACTAACAACTAATGCTTATTTCAATCCAACACTGCAACGAGTCAGGTTCAGAAATATTTCAGAAATATTTCTGTACCCAAATCACTCAATATTTGCGATCCTACTGCCAACAATGGATTTCTCAGGCAAAGAAATAGCTTGACCCATAGACCTTTGCTTTCTCTTTGTCTTTCACTCACCTTTATTCTCAGGGTACGTTTACACAACACTGTGTACTAAAGACGGAAAAGATGCGTTTTTCGCATACAGACGACAACGCTGTCAAAACAATCCCCGTTCACACAGATCAGCGAAAACAATTAAAAACACTTTATTATGCATGGCAGACCAGTAGTTGGCGATGTCGCTTTGTAAGGAAACACTAATCACCTATAGACTGAACATGTAATATGCATGCGCATGACGTCACCGTTTTCACAAATTTGCGTTTTTATAGTTTGCACAGAGAGGATAACGGTATCGTTTTCAAAAACTTGCACTTTTTAGTTGAAAACGGTGTCGTGTAAACGGCTCCTAAGTTAGGCTACACGAACATAATGTGCAAAAAAATTTCTAAATTGTTCATCAGAATGAATCCTGTGTTAAATGTAGTAAAACATACACAGAGGCAGTAAGGCAATTTATAAAAAATAAATGAAACATAAAATGAAATATTAATCTACTCTTTACATTACTTAGATTTTTATTCAGCAT